CCCCGGGCCCCGGCCGCCCCGGCCCCTGCTGGCGTCGCGAGCGTCGGAGCGCGGCGCGGGAGAGCGGGTTCGCGCTGCGCGCGGGGAGAGGCCAGGAACTTTCTCTCGATGGCGACGTGCAGATTTCCGCCCGGTACGCTGACGGTGATGTTTAATTATCGACTCGGTCGAATTGAAAGTCCGTGCGATTTTGATGGCGGACTCCCCCCACGCCCCCAGAAGTTTCTCTCGCTCTTTCCTGTAGAGCAATTACTGCTTTTTGAAGTCGGTTTGTGAAACCGCTGACAATGCTAATGTCTCCAGGCTTGAGATGTGCTAATTTTTTTTTTTATTACGTTTTTATAAATAAGTGTAGATAGATTGTGTAGCATATTAACTTCTCTTTCTAATGTAGGCTATTGAAGAGGAAGGAGGCGATCCAGATAATATTGAATTAACTGTTTCAACTGATACTCCAAACAAGAAACCAACCAAAGGCAAAGGTTGTTACGAGTTATGAACATATTTTAAAATATATTTCGGTTATATAACTTGCCTCTGCTCTTGTGCCACTTGCCCTGTTTGTGTAGTGCTCCTCTTTGCTATTTCCCTCTGGCGCTCTGCCTTCTTGGGTCAAGGAAGAAAAGTTACTGTTGCCAGACGCTGGGTAACTAACATGTAGCCCTTAAGATTCGGACGAAGCTGACCAGAAAGCTAGAACGGTTGTTTATTGCTTCTGAAAACCATACACAGTCAAGCTGGAATCATCTTCCATAGTGTGAAGTCCTGCAGAATAAAATACAGTTTAATACGTGTCTACCTTGCCCCACCATTGGCAGAGTATTGATGGAATTCCTACCAGATCTTTGACTTGGCTCCTTGCTGTTCTCTCTAGTCTGTTAAAATTCTGTAACCTTTATGTTTAGTGTTTCCTTTGACTTGATGAATTTAATTTGCATTTATGCCACCATACGTTGTAAGAAATTTCAGGGAAATTCACGAAGACCTCATCAGTTACACGAAGAAGCTAGGGAAAATCCATGGACTAAAGTTTTAAGCTGTAAGGATGTTTAATAACTTTAGGTGTATTTTTGGGTATAGAAATAGCTAAGTGAATTTAAAGGAACGTGGAATTTAGGTGTTTTGAAAAGCGTCTGCTGAGTGAAGTCTGTATTTGAATAGTTGCAAGTTCTTCCCTGAAGGACAGTGGCAGAGGGTGGGCGTGTGTCTGGGTCCTGGAAGCTTCCTACCGTTTTCACGTACTGCATGAACATCTGCAGCGTTGTTACCATCTTTGCTGCCCTAAGGGATGCAAGCGCTTTACAACCAGCCTCCCACTGGAGTTAGAACAAAATGGTTGGTCTTGAAAAGAATGGCCTCAGACCTGCCCTCGCTGCCCAGGCTGTGAGGGCCAGGCTGCTTCACGATGTAAGTGTTCCTGGTGCCAAGAGACCCGTTCGTGCTGGAGGAGAACGAGAAAAGGGCTCGGGAGCGTGTCCCGGGTGCCCTGGGAATAGCAGAGTTGGAGATGGAGTTTAGAGGCGTAGGGAGAGGATTTTGAAAGCTTATGGTAAAGTTTAATGTAACTTGACTCAGTATTATCAGTGTGAGATACATTCACAGTGCCGTGGGAGACACATGTCCCTGTGTTTAGAGAAGCTTGAGCCAGAAATCCCTCTGCTGACAAACGAAAAGTATCTCAGAGCGGGAAAGCCTAAATCTGAAAATAAGTATATTAGGAGTAAACCGTGTTTTTTGCAGTGTTTTGATTCACAGCTTTCATTTGGCACATTGTGGTACTTTGACAGATGTCTTGTATTAATCGTGGTTCCAAGTTACTGAAGTTGACTGTTAATGATGTAAGCATTTAAAGTAAGCTTCATGAGCCGGACCTGGTAGCGCATGCCTGTAATCCCAGCACTCAGGGAGGCTGAGGCAGGAGGATCACCATGAGTTAGAGGTTAGCCTGAACTACAGAGTGAGGCCCTGTCTCAAAAAAAAAAAAAATAAATAAACAAACCAAGTAAGCTTCATTTACTTTATTCAGTTTTCACTTTAATTTCTTTTTTTCAGTTTTGGTTAGGAACTTCATTCATCTAACCTTTAGAAATAACTTCAAAACTGTGCATGGGGGCATACTGCTGTAATTCCAGCACTGGGGAGCCTGAGACAGGAGGGTCAAGAGTTCAGGGCAAGCTAGGACTGTATGATGAGACCCTGTCTCAAAAATTCCACAAGGAGGTGGGGCTTGGTGGTGTGCAGGCACTGGGGAGGCTGAGGCAGGAGGGTCTTTGCGAGTTCGAGACCAGCTTGGGCTACAAAGTGAGCCCAAGGCCAGCCAGAACTGCATAACTAGACCTTCTTTCAAAAAGACAAAAAAAAAAAATTCCACAAGGGTTTTTTTTGTTTTTTTGGTAGCAGGAATCAAACTCAGGGCCTTGCTCTTGCCAGGCAGGCACTCCACCACTGAGCCACATCCCTGGCCCTCCACAAGGATTTTTTTTAAAAAAAAGAAAAGATGAAGTGCTGGGGATATAGCTCAGTGACACAAGTGCCTGCTTAGCAAAAAAAAAAAAAGGATGAAAATAAAATAGTTTTAGCAATATAAAATGTAAGGATTTTTTGATATCAGTGTGATAACTTTTACAAGATAACTTTTTATCAGTGTCATTTTGCCCTTTACATGGATTATAAAAATAGTTGAGTTGTATTTCCTAACTTGTAGCATGTATTCATTTTGTGTGTAGCAGGCTGTGGAGCAGTTGATGGTGTTCATTGCAGGATGTGCATGACAGGTTGCTCTAGACACCTGGAATTCTTTGTCCTGGAAATCATATGAATTGCAAAGAACTAAATGCACATCCCCAGCTCAGAATCTTGAGTTAATTTGCAATTGAGACCCCTGTAGGTAAGGTAATTGTTTACTCCTTTGCAGAACAGGTGTTTGAATCCACATTCAACCGGGCCGGCCTTGTGGAGGCCGGCAAGGTGGTCTACCACGGAGCTCCTGAAAATCCTTTTACCCCAGCCCCCTAAGATTATTATTAATTAATTAATTAATTAATTAGTTTACTTTAGTCTTTCGGAGACAGGGTTTCACTATGTAGTTCAGGCTAGCGTTGAACTCACTATATGGCCTAGGCTGGCCTTGAGCTCACGGCAATTCTACCTGAGCTTCCTGAGTGCTGGGATCACGTGTGTGCCACCACGCCCAACTAATAATTCTTATTGCTACAGTAGTAAATAAAAGATGTAAAAACAAAAGCGAGAGAAAAGCTTTATAGGTCTGAAAAAATTACATAGGTGAGAGCACTGAGCCTGTTCCTTTAGAAGATAAATACAGGGTAACTATTTCTTTAAAACAATGTACACACACAAAAAACAATGTAACACAAGACTGAGGGGATTAGGTCAGTCAGCAAAGCCTTGCGTCTGATCCCCAGTACCCGGAAAAAGAAAAACTGATTACAGTGTAACTGATTATGGGATAAGGACCCTGTACTCCGAACTATGTTGCAGAGGATTTTAAAAATGCAGTTGTAGGCACAAACTTGTAGTAAGTGTTGTTAGGTTGTAGTGTGTTCTGGTATTTGTAACAACGCTCACAGTTTGGATCTTGGATTGGTTCTCCCTTCTGAGCCTTTTTCCAGCCTCTTTGCTAGGAACTTTTTTTTTTTGTTTAATTTTTTTGGTGCTGGGAATCAACTCTCAATCATCATCCCCGCCCTCAAGGTCCTGAAGCTTGCCAGGCAGGCACTGTGCAGCTGAGCTATATCCCTAGCCCCAGAACTTTTTAATGAAAGTAACCTAAATGAAAGCTTCTCTCATTGAGATTTACCGACTTTATTTGAGTGTGTGGTTTTTTAAATTTATAAGTCTTTTTTTTTTTTTTTTTTTTTTTAATCTTTTTGAGGCAGGGTTTCACTATGCAGTTCAGGCTGGCCATGAACTCACTTTGTAGCCCCGGCTGGCCTGACTGGCATGATGGTACTCCTGTCCCAGCCTCCTAAGTGCTGGGATTACAGGTGTGTACCACCAATCCCTGCTGGGTGTACATTGTTTTAAAGAAATAGTTACCCTGTAAAAGAAAGCAGTTAGGGGGCTGGGGATTTAGCTCAGCGGCAAAAGCGCCTGCCTGGCAAGCGCAAGGTCGTGGGTTCAGTTCCCGGTACCGGAGAAAAACAAAAACAAAAACAAAAACAAAAACAAAAAAAAATAAAGCAGTTAAACAGGTGGAACTAACTCATTAGCTTATTGACATTGTAGATTTCAAGTCTATAATGGTTTATCTTGATTTTCACCCTTGAAAGTCATCTCCTGTAATCTTCAATAAAAGGTATTAGGTTAGTACAGTGTTCAAAATTATATGTATAGTATAGTACTTACTGATGTTGAAACTAATTTTCAGTACATGCAAGTTTGTTTTGCTTTGTTTTTTGTCTTTGAGACAGGGTCTCACTATGCAGTTGAGGCTGGCCTTGAGCTCACTTTGTAGCCCAGGCTGACCTTATACTCGCAATGATCCTCCTGCCTCAGCCTCCCAAGTGCTGGGATTACAGGTGTGTGCCGCCATGCCCGGCCATTATGTTTTTTAAAACTATAGTCTGTTGAGCCAGGCGTGGTGGCGCACACCTCACGAGAAGAAGGTGTTTAGATGGTAAGGAGTACTGAGCTGAGGGCGCACTGGGAAACCTAGGGCTGTCGTGGGTAGTTCTTGGGCACCTGGTAGTTGGAAGCCTGGTGAGGGCCAGGTCCTAAGTTTACTTACTTCTGCCTTGGTAATGGCTAGCATGAAGCGTGGCACAGAATGGGTGCTCAGGAAGGGTTTGTTGAATGAATACTGAAAGCCAATTTGTTTGCTTTCTTAGTTGCTTTCTGAAAAATTTCTTTTGGTGCCTACTTTAATTGCATGTTCGTAGGGAGCACACAGGGTACGTCAAGGGTTACTAGTCTGTCTTCCAGTCGCAGGAGCATCAGGCTTCTCAGGCATCAGAGGTGTGAAGTTTCCTTTCAGAGCACAGGGGTCTGAAGTGAGACCACCCTTCTCTTGTCTTTGAGTGCATACTGTGCCAGAAAGCTGCCCAACCTCCCGGGACAGCGTTTGCACTTCAGAGCCAGCCCATTTATCTCTTTAAAACCTGCGCTGTGTTTATCACCACAGCACTTCAGTGCGCCTTGCAGCTGTTGTGTTGTATCAAATCCAGTTGTGTGCCAAGGACCTGGTGAGGAAACGGTTAAATCTTTCCAGTATAGAACTAACAGGCATACACTTCCTCCACACCAGTTGTCTTCTAGGTGAGCTTTTGACTCACAGGCAAAGGAGTTTTAAGACTTTATTTCCTTTTTTTATGCACTTACGTAAAACAAAGTGTTGATTGAGCAGGAGTTACAGAGATGTTATTAATAATTATTAATAGTTACTAATGAAAATTTTTATGAAGAGGCTGCATGATGGCTTAGAGTTCTTGGGTAGGATTTGTTGATTTTTCTGGTTTTTTTTTTT